TAAGGACTATATATGCACATGCATATACATGCATATAAAAAAGGAATAATATTAATCGGTGAAAATGAAATGGTAACCTCGCCTGCGATATCGGTATACGCTGGCGAGGCACCAATAAGGGATAGTAGATGAGAATGAAGGTAGGTCCATCGTGAAGAATTCAATAAGAAGTAACCACGATAGTTTTCAGGTGGAACCGCGTAGAGGCCGATCTGATAGGGTATATTGCTAGCGACGAGGCTGTTGCAACTCATTATTAAGAATCCCTTTCCCCCCTGATAAGGAATAATATTGTAATATTAGTAAATTTATATATATTAGTATGTAGTATTCCTATACTACTTTAGTTAAGTTTAATCATTGTTTGATTGGGCTTAAAAATACTAGAAATTTAATTTACTGACAACAGAACTTTATCTGTATCCAATAACAAGTATAATATAGAAACAGAACCCTTTATAAACAAACAGGAAATTAGACACCAATACCTAAAAGGGCTTAAGCACTAATCCATGTTTTTGTAGAGGGTGATTGTCAGCAAATGGAAGTGACAGTGTATGCTACAGATATTAATCGTGAAAAATCCCCTCATGGCAGAACAGAGACAGGAGCGCAGGGCTAAAATGCGGCACGTGCGTTGTCTATTAACGGTTGACAACATTGGGATAAAGCCAAAGATTCCGTTAAAGCAGAAAAGGATAATAAATTGTTAAGTTTAACAATTGAACAATTTAAAAAAAAAAAAGTAAAACCATTTTATTGGCTTTCTCTCCACATAAAAGTAATACTCAAAATAAGTGATATTGTAAATAGATTGTAATCAACCACAACCTTCCGAATCCTGCAGTAATAAAAAAAAATACGAATATTAAAAATACTTGTAAACAAGTCTATTTGAATAAAGTTGTTTTGAATTAAAAATTTAATTAGTATATACATATATAATATCTATAATGGAAGGCTTATGTTCACCAGTGAACAGTTAACGGCTGATATGATGATATGATATCTATCTAATAATTAAATCTATCTAAATAAATTCAAAAAATAATTAAAATGTTTGTACTATATTAAATATAATTTTTATTAAATAAAAAAACAATAATGCAATTTTAGATTTCGCGTAGATAATATCATAATGGCATGAAGTCAAAAAATATTAAACACAAGTTGTCTATAGTTGTTACCTCTATATGTGCATTATACTCGTATTATATGTAGTACAGTTAAAGCAGAAAATTTACATTCAAAAGCAGTTATCGAAAATGTTTCCATGACTCGATTATATTGTGAGATTAGTAATCATAGTCTCATAATGGTAATACGATGATCATGAAGTCCAAATACAAAACTTACAGGGTTTTAAATATATATTTTTTAAATATCAATTTCTAAACTAGAACTCCCCATGTTTTATTTACATGGAGGTTCGTTATTATAGCGCCGTACAATGAGTAACAAATTACACAGGACTACTGGGGGGAAGTCTTATCTACACCGTCAATGCAACTCCCTAGCCTGTCTATTGCTTATCGAACTTGCGTTCGATTGGTGTATTTTAAGTACGGGAAGTTAAACAGTGTGGAACTAAGCCTACTTCAAAATAACAGCTCGAGAGATAGTAATATTTTTTCTATGTTAAGGGAATGAAAATATGTAAATATGTCAAACACTTATGTATATTTTATATTGCTAAAAACATTTTAATAAATAACTATGATTATGATATTTAGATTACAAAACAGAGAAATCAATGGTAGCTATTTTATCTTTAACGGGTTATATTAAATAATCAGGCTATAAAAGTAATTCTATATTCTTTGCTAAAAAAAATTGGTAGACAGTTATATTAGTATATGTGTTTGACAATAATTTGTTATTAACAAAATTAAATAATAAATAAAGTTAAAAGTAGAAATGATATTAAAATCACTAGCTGATCAAATAAGAGTTAGACAAAATCTAATAATAATAATTTTCATTAATTACTTTCCTGTTGGTATATTAACTGACCTGTTTGTATCTAACAAAACCGATGTAGTTCTATTTTAATACAATACTCTCATACAAAATAATAATATTCATCATAGACGCCAACTATCAAGCAACCGATAAAAAAACTTTATGTGGTAATACGTAATAAGCATATAGATTCCTCATAAGATAAGAAACTCCCCTAAATATATCCCGGCTGGGTATTTTGTCGTCCCTTATCAGCTACTGGCAGTCTTAGAAAAAGGCACATTATGTTAAATGACTAATGCAGTAAAAATGCTAATGTTTGAGTATAACTATGCCAAACAAAAATTATTTTATTACGTACATAAACTTCTTTAAAATTCTTCTTATTATTCTTCTTATGAAATTTTAGAATTCTGTTAGAGAGAATAAAGTACTGATAGAAAATTATTTTAGTTTAAAAACTATGTTTTATTTTAGTTTAAAAACTAGTTTTAGTAAATTATTTTGTACAATCTGAGGTACAGTGTAATAATACCTACATACAAATACTCTTTCTCCGTAAATAAGTTGTAATTTGATTAAAAATGAAGACTCAAACTAACAAAATATACAGTTTTTAACTTCTTTTCTTCCTCATTTCATGTAACATACCAATACATAATATACTTAGTTCCATAACCATTAATTTTCATGATATAACACATTCAACTAATACATGACCTTTTTTTTAAAAGACAACGTACATACATTCCGGACAAAGTAATTCGTCTACTTCATAAAACCGGAGCACTACCAACTTTTGGCCGGAAAAACTATGAGGCCATGTTTATGCTTTGTAGAAACCGCCTTTATTCCAACCGAACAACGTACCCGGGTAACCGCAACTTTAGCGAGATTATGCCAAATAAATGAGCGCATCGCACACGGATATTACCGAATATGTTTCCACCCTTTACCCGAGTGTAGTCGTTAGAGGAACGAGGGTCCTTTATCAACAGCGATAATACCACGGAAACTTTTGCACTCCAAAGAAAACCCACGCGGATATCATTTACATTAATCATTGTAAGGTAACGTACGTTTGTGTGGGAATAAAATCTTCATAGCATTCAATGTTGTTGCAGTTTTTCAACTTAAGAGAAATCTTCAAAGGTTTCCCGTATTACGAATAGGAATTGTTGTAAAAAGTTAAGTATAAATTTTCATTTTCTGAAGTAGCAACTTAGAAATTCTAGTTTATTTATGGTCTATGGAGCCTCCTATAAGGAATTTGGAATCCTTTTAGAATAAGCGTGTAACAAGAACATTTGCGTGAATTCTCAGTCTTCGTGTAGATTTTTTTTATAATCAAATCCTTTTACATAACCAGAGAGACTGCTCGTTCGTCATTGAAGTTGTTTTATTGAATACTTAATGATTCTTCTTTTTCTATTGTGATTAAAATAAATTTAATGTAAATTTATTTATACATTATTAATATTATAATTCGATACTTTTCTTATTATTGTTATTTTATAAATGAAAATTTCAAATTACAAAAAATCCTTAATAGTATAAGGTGTTAAAAATTAATATCAACACAAAAATGAATACAATGATAAATAAATTAAGATTTAAAATATACTAAATGTATCATGAGAACGTATCGTTGTGTTTTAGGTTAGTTAAATCAATGAATGATTATCTAAAGAATATAAAATTATATAAAATACATACTCTATTCTGGCAGATAGCAGTATAGATAACTAGAAATCAGACTACGAATATTTAATAACAACCCATAAGAACTGGATTGAAGCATATTTATAAAGATTAGTTTCTTAACTTAAATCGCTTTCTTCTTTTATTATAACTTCACTTTTATACAAATATTAGTTAATTTTTATACATAAAAACAAGTAATATCATAGGTAAAAACTATTTTAAAAAAGTTACTTAAATTTTATATACCCAACACAAACAGAATAATATTCTTTTTCGTGGTGTCTTATTTCAAAAAACACGATCTTCAAATATTCAGAGCATCATTTTGGTATTTCTCAGTGCGTGCTCTAAAGATATCTGTTTGCTCGTGTAATTTACAAAATCCCATTGTTCAAAGACACCGGCGGGCCCTTTTACCTCTTTTACCTAAACTGAGAATGCCCTTCATAAAACCGGGAGTGGATTGTTTCCAACATTCAACCGGAACACGCCGAATGGAATCAGACTAATACACGAACCCTTCCTTCGTTCCCCACATAAAGAAAATGCCTTCGGCTCACTATTACCGGCGGACACCTATTGTCTGCCCCAATGGGGTAACCCTTACGTGTAGCAGAAAAACTTACTTAACAGTATGATTTATAACATTTCATATTTCGTAAATCAATATTTATTGTTGATATATATACATAATTAATTAATCCTTTTCTATTGTAATATTGTAAATGTAAAAGTTTGTTACGATGGATATATATGGATGTTTGTTACTCTTTTCCGCATAAACTACCAAATGGAATTAACTCACTAATGGGTAACTCGATAGTTTAATAGTAATAGGCAAGATATGGTTTCAAAAGTTGACTCTGTAGTGGCAAGCTGATAAAATGTTTGCTTTTTTAAAAGTTGAGAAGTCTACGTTCATAAGAGATTTATCATTGTTATTATTATGACTATTTCAACAACCAATGTTGAACAGAGATCTTATATTCCCGCGTTCTTCTGCAATCTTAAACTATTTTATTTAAGGATCTACATATAATATTAATAAATTGTAAACATTTGGGTACATTTATACTTTTTTGTTTTTACGATAAAGTGAGAAAATAACTGTGTCAATACTATTTGTTGTATATATACTAATGTCTTATATCTATAACAAATCAATATTTATAATTAAATATTAAAATACAAACATTAATTCATAATAATATATACGATCAATATTTGTATTTATTGTTTTTTTTTTTATGAACAGTATCACTATAATCTGTTATTATGATTATTTATATTATCCGTTGACCTCAGTTATATTGTTCAGTTCAATTACTACAACATCTCGACCGTTCCCGGTACTACATACAGTTGATTCGATATTATCTCATTCAGACATTGTGTCGTCGTATTGCTACTAGTGTAAACAATTTTTTTTCCTCGAAACTAAATTTGAAATAAGAATGAAGTTTAAAATATTTGTTACGTTCTTATTAGCCAGTGTGATCGCTGTGAATTGTGAACATTTAATATTAGGAGACGTAAATAATAGAAAATTGATATATCACACAACAGCGCAATACAGCGCGTATCCATTCTTAGTAAGAGTGAAAAACGTTTTTTATTCAAGTCCGGAACAAGAAATTATAAATGTGAGTATAGAGCTGTTTGTATATTAGACATAAAGTTAACTTTACATAATATATTTAATAGTTTCTTCTTGACGTAGCAACTAAATCATATTTATACGAACTAAATAAATAACTAGCTAAATCTAGCCGTTTGCAAATTCATTATCTAATATTAAATTTCATTTAAATTAGTCCAACCGTTTAAGTATGATTGAGTAATAAATAATTGCATATCTTTTACAATATAAGTAGAACTTGTACTTATCTATTAACTCCTGTATACGTAGGTATGCTTGCATCATAACAACGAATAATTTTTAACTGACTTCAAAAGGAGGAGGTTCTCAATTCGGTAGTGTTTTTTAATACACAATGTTAAGTTAAAAACATGTAATTAACATATTTAACATTTTTTTTTGCATTAAATTACATAAACTAATGTTCCAATTTTAACTTTAAGAAAATAATAAATAAACAAAATATGATGGCAGATAATAAAATAGATTGATTCACTGTTAAAATTCAAGTTATAGATAAGAATTTATTTTCATAATAATCTAATTCTTTTTAAACAACTGCAGCTATAAAGTATCTTCAGTAACCTTATGTCAGTTTCAATGTTCAAATTCACTACCATTATAAATATACATATACAGAGTGAAATCGAAATCGTTAGCATCCTATTAAGAAAGTATTCTAACAAAGAAATTAAAAGATATGAAATTATTAAAAAAGAAATAAGAATTGGAAAACGATACAAATAGACGGAAAAAAATAGAATTTCCTATACAAACTTGAGAGCTGGATGTACGGTTTCGTGTCGGATGTCAACAGAAATTCTAAGACTGGCTGAAAGGAATTTAAATAAAAATACTAAATTTGAATTTTTAGACATAGGCAATTTTTAACCCCCGGCTTAAATAGAGGGGTGTTATAAGTTTAAAGTGTCTGTGTACCTGTCTGTGGCATCATAGTTTGAATAGATCTGTTATGGTACTGTTTTTTGTTTTATTTGAAAGCTGACGTAATCGAAATGGTTCTTAGCTACAATTTTGAACATCTATTCAGGCGTTTCGAGGGTTACTTAAAATTTTTAATTTTATTTATTGCATTATAATTGCTTGAATATTATTGTTTTATCTACACAATGTTGATGGTAACTTGGCTAGCAGGCCTTTTTATATATTTGTATTTTAATAGACAATATTTTAATACTTAATATTCAATTCATGATATATATCAGTATGATATCTATTTTATTATATAAATATTTAAGTCAAAGGATTAACTATCCACTGAGATACAGGCTTGATCTAGTACGGTGACTAGTAGATCTAACTATATATATGTAATTTATTATTTAATAAAGACAGTTATTATTATTGTTAAAAATTTAATAGAAACTATTTCAAATGTTTGCTAATTGCTGTAAACTATCAGAATATTATTACTTTGTGCAGTTTACAGTGAACCCCTTTACAACTGATTAATTAATAATCCTGTTTAGGGAATCGATCTTGTATTATTATTAATGAAAGGCTGCTTTTGATCCACATAAATGGAAGTACAGGCAATATATTGCCTTATTATGAAATAATAACATTAGCAATACCGTGAATAGATATAATGATATTGTTTAAAATACTCTTACAACTGATATTTACGCAGGAGTTAAAAACATTAAAAAACATAAACAAGGATAAAGATCATTAGCATTTAATTAACTATGCGTATCCCGTAAAGCCAGTTATGGAATTGCTTTAGTAATTTTTTTGATTAAAAAAAAATTACCGATGTAATAAAAGAAATTAATAAAATCAGCTGAAATTTTACTATTGTATAATTTCATTTAATTTCAATTTCATGTAATGTATTTAACATTTTACTACTATCTATCTCACGTAGTTGAGTAACAAGTCATTCTATCAGCGAGAAACTGTATAAAATATGTTTACTTAGGAATTTCTATCCCACTACATAGCAGTGATTCTATTTAAAGAGTTTATTAATAAATTAGAGATCAGTTACTACTTTTTATAAGCTTGTTCGTATTTCCATTATGCATACAAAAAAACCGACCAAGTTACCAACTTCTAACTACAAATTTACGGTTTTACGATTTTCCCTTCACTCGAGCTGTACGATATTGCTTTATGCTAAATTTAATGATTCTAAGTTATTGAGAAGTACCCAACATGGTTTTGATTGCTTTGCAAACGTCAAAATATATGCTACAAATAGCTGTGAATTTAAGAAATAGCTACATATACTATATTATCAAGTGATATATCTATTTTTTTATTAAATGGGAACCTTTCAGCCATCATAACATTACTCGCCATACGTCTAAATTCTTAAAGAAGTGAGAAATAGGCATAAAAAAGGCGGGATGATACTTTAAAATATCAAAATTTGTGTGTATTTCTTACTTTTTAGTATCGTAACATCTTAACCAATCACTATGAAATTTGGTAGATATATACGCACTATATGAGATGGTGAAGGACATAGGCTATCTCAGTAAATGAACATATCCTAGTCAAGGGAGTGAAGTCACGGATAAAAGTTAGTGTTATTATAAACAGAGAACTATTCTTTTATTATATTTACTCTAATTGCATTCACAGAGTATCCTGGTATATGACAACATGTACTCTAAAGCGACTGCATCGATAACTGCAGGTGGTATTGGCTACACCTACGTCAATCTCAGTTTGAAGAGCGAGCGTGGGAGAGGACTTGACTATGACATAGGTCTATATTCCTAAATTGTGTGTTATTTATTTAAATATATTAGATTTTGTATTTTTAACTTCTTGTTTATAAAATGCATTTGAAACGATATCTCTTTTATTAATACTATTTGATAATAAGAGAAAAAATATAAAATTGCTAAGTAAACTTTTGATATTGAAAAAAGAAGAAGCAAATATATAAAAAGAAATATAAGCAAAAGAATAAGAATGTCTACTACTGGCAAAATTCCTCTAATGTAAGAGGTCTATGTTCAGCAATAGATAGTTAATGGCTGATATCGTCATCATTATCATTAAGAGCATAATATATACAATCAGTAACACTATTAACAAACTATTCCAGATACAACAGAAATAAAATCTTATTATTAAAAAGAGATAAACTATTTCTCTTATAAATAAGTACTAATAGATATAGTCTAGTTATTAAAATGTTGTATTCAAGTAATCCAGTAGGTATCTATTTAATTTCTTTGAAGAGGCAAATAGGATGAACAGCTTGGCTCCGCTTGAGATCACAAAACTTTTTATAGGGAAAGAGTGGAGAGATTTGGCAGCATTATTAAATCTGGAACGTTTTAATGGAGTATATTTTTGAGTAAAATAGGATACATTTATCATTTACTATAGCCATATCATATAAGAGAATTAATAATAATTATATCAGCGCAAGAAACTTTGCAGCAAATAGAAAATAAATAGAAAAAAAACATTTTGTGGGTTGCATTATATTGATAATAACCCCGCACGTTTCTGCCTGAAAACCATCGTATTTAATTTTTGATGAATTCGTTATGATAGTACAACTGATCTGTTTTCATTCTCATCTATCATCTCACACTGATACCCTACTAGAGTACACGGATAGCATGAGCGGTTTCCAATTCCATATCAAGCATTGAAAAAGAAACCCTTGATAATGTCAATGATGACTATATATTTAATACAATATTAAACAGAGATTAATGAAAAAGTATTGTCACTATTATAAGATCTTATGTTTATGAAGTCAATTTTTCGCTATATTTGAAGTTATATAGTATTACACACGTGTCAACAGGGCACGCCCGCTTTAATAGTATAAAAAACGCTACTTACATACTTGCATTATTACATATACACTTTAAAAAATATACAGTAAAATCAATACTAATATAATATAATATTACAATACAATGTATACTGGTATTATATATATATTCAATGAATAAACAAAACAAACGGAAACAAAACTCTTCTCAGGCCAAGTCCATACAGGTCGACACTCATTCATAATTTATTTTACCGAAAGAAATTTAAATAGAAGTGGAACTATTTCCGCTAGCACCCAGCGCATACATATTCATTTCAACATGTCACATAAAATATTCCATTGCTTCCTCACCTCGCGTCAGAGTACAGCCTTTCTTATATTTCACGAGAACGAAAGGGCAAATTATATCAGCGGGCACAGTCGCGGCTGGAGTGGGTTGTGACAGTGAAGGCAAATTGGAGAAGACAACATGCTTTTAGCGAGTCTCGCCTGAACCCCTGCGGATAGTGGTACAATAGAATCGCAGTTGACGTTTGGTGTAAGTCTAAAGAGACCATAAGTATTATATTGACAAATTATAATCGTATGATCGCATTATTACCTACTATGAGGAAATACGAATAAATAAACATAATATAGTTATAATTCAATTATGACAGTCATTTGCTTATTATTGTATTTAGGATATCAGTTAACTTCATAATTATGTTTATTGATATTTTTGCGTTTATTTGTTATTCAGAAGGGTTTGTTATCTTTAAAATAGAATTATTGATTACAAGTTTTTTTTATCCATTTATGATAACCTCATAGGCTATAGTAATCACTTACCATCAGGTGGGCCGTATGCTTGATTGCTACCTTAGTAGTATAAAAATCAGAATTACACTATGGTCTTTATAAGAACATAATATATAACATATAAGTTAACCAATGGCTATTGCTCTGATGAAACAAAAGAACGAGATCGAGAGTATTAATTTTAAATCAACATTAGGTGCAAATAATAAAACTGAAACAGTAATAATGTAATTACTTACTTTAGTAATATCAATAAGTGTAAATTTAGTATATAAAATGTTGGTATATACAAGTTACATAGATAAACACATATTTCAAATAATATACAATTTCTTTTCTCTTGAACCGCAATCCCAGAAGTAAGTCTTCGCCCATAACTGTTATGAAACGTTGTCTCAGGAGTTACTTACTTCCAAACTTCTAGTAATACAATTAAGAAGTTATATTTGCTTTTGACTAAACAATCTATATCGTTACAATGCCACTGAATATTTGTTTAATTTGTTTTAAATATTTAATTTGATTTATTAACCTGTATACCAGTTTATAATACCGCCTCACCTTCCAATTATTTTAGAATTGATCCTCACATAATAGAAATATATTTTATATTAAGGAGTAGATTGTTTATGGTGGTTTCTGGATTAAGTAGTAGTAGTAAGACTAAGTAAGATTAAGTAATTTTTTTTTGTAAATACATACATATATTATTTTCAAAAATTAATTAATTAATTTATATATGTATTTACAAAAAAAAATTCATATGTTTATCATTCGTTAAATATTCATAGCATAAGCTATATTCATTTTAGGGCCAGATAGTACTGTGTTATATATCCAATGGCAAGTATTTACTCTTATCTCAATATTTGTAAATATAATATTGTATATAAATTTGTAATATTGTATATAATGTACAAATATATAAAATATGTGCCTACATTATATGTAAATAGTACGTTTTATACAGATATCTGAAATGAATTGTAAATAGCAAATTTATAAATATTCAATGTTTGTTAATTATTAAGATTTATCATATCATAAGTAAATATTATTAATGTTGGACGAATAAACAAATTATAATATACAAAGAGTATTATTATTTATTGCCTATTATAATGTGTGAGAGTTTGTATAATTATTTAGAATTTTGTTACTCAATAACGTTCAAATGGCTAAACGAATCTAAGTGAAAACTAAGGATAATCATAACCAGGTGTAGCAAATATATATACTTTCTATAATTTCACACCGGTGGTAGCTAGCAGTATGCGAATTTAATAAGAAATAATACTTTGAGCAATGCAGCGAGCTGGATTCATATTGCTAACAACAAAGCAATTACATCACGAGACAACACAAACATATCTGTCTACTCCAAAGACGTTTTGACTGCACCAAGGGTTGTCAAAAATGTGGAAGATACTTATTTCGAGTTTGATAACAATGAGCATTTTTTTTTCATTTATTTAAATTTATAGATTACCAAAATTTGATGTGTGTTTCATTTATATACATATAAGTTATATAAAACGTAAGCTTGTTATCTTATCGTATTTAAATATAAGTGTGTACAAAACGAAATAGTAAAATCAAAATCAGTAACATTTTTCTAAAGTAACATATTTTGAATATTATTAAAAATTAAAGCTTTCCATATAAACTAACTTGCTGCCGATGCTTATAAACTAACTTGCTTGCTTACGTTAGTATTTGTGGCTGAACATTTTTTAAGATTTTCATTGGTAGATAAAATTTATACTGTCTCTTTACAATTTTGTTCAATTTTACTCATTATATCAAAGCCAATTACTAACTATTGTATTTCGTAATTTACTTTAATATATGTATGATATTCTCCATAATGTGACAACCCTAACATTTAATATCAAACAAAACAATCTCCTTTTGAAAACTTCGCATCCTTTTCACAACACTTTGCTATTGTCGCGGGAGAGCAATCTCGTAATTTCATCTTCGTGGTATGAATAACGAGTTTTTTGCTGGCGCTTTACAATATCTTACAAAAAAGCAACCGGCGCGTGGCTTATTAAAATATTGTGCCCTGAATGATGAATATCCTGAGAGACTTATCAATATTATAGCAATAACTGTCGGTTATATATAGTTGAAATATTACGTTATAAACTTTAAAAATATATTTAAAATCAGTTTGTACAAGCTCTGTTTAGTATTAAACTAAATAATGTGTAATAATGTCCAGGACAAAAAAGATATAAATTTATTATATATATAATTTGAAATAATTTTTCATGTGTAAGTAATACTAAAAAAGTGTTTACGGGAATTCGGTTATTAGTTCATATACATACATAAAATAATCTATTTTTGTGATACAATAACAAAATAGCTGACAGCTTCACGGTAAAAAACGGCTGGGACAGCGGTACCCATGTACTCTACTTTTGTATGTATACAGCCTTTCTCTAACATTAATTATGAATTCTATTCATAATAGTGATAGTGAGTTTACTGTGCCTACTTATAATAAAAAGACCTTCCCTCGCTATTTATTGCTCATTTGTCATTGTATTGTCAAGAGCGAGGCAGGGCAATTAGCGAGTGGTCAGCCCGGATATTCGGCCGCTATTCATCAATCTATCCGGATCGAACCAGTCACGTGCTAACTCCCTGGCTTTTTACTCTTATATGGCTGGTCGATCTAATCACTCTAATACCTCGACATTGCAGTGTATTTTTTTTAATGAGAAATTAGTATTAAAATAATAAGTAATTTATACCTTTTAATATGTACATTATAGAATATTTAATGTTTGTACTTGCAGTAATATTATAGTTATATCTTGAATATATATTAAAATAACCAAATCTATACAGCTATTCTAAAGTAATAGGTTAAGAAATTAATGGCATTTCATATTTGATTATAAAACAATAATGATTTCGATCCATATTTTTAATAATATGTTCGTTGTTTTATCAGCTGTTAACTGACTACTGCTAAACATAGCTTCTCCCATAAAGGGGATTTTGCCAGTAGTTGCCACGCTTGGCAGATTGGCAACCGCAGTTTAGCTTTTGGTGATGTTTTAAGTGAGACGCTGCAGTCCATTCCTCCACCATAAGCTCCTTAGTCACCTCTTACGACGGTAAATGGTGTTCTATTCTATGCCGGGATCTACATGGCAATAAATAACTATTTCAGTTAAATAATTTTATTAAAATTTTATTAAAAGATATTAGGGATTTAACTATTCTAAACTTTGT